TAATGCAAATTATTTATGGTTAACGAACACGTTTTTTTTGTGGATCAATACCTCTTTTGAATGATGCAGATAATGGAAATAAAATAAAAGAGAGAAAAATTGAAAAGAGTTAGTAAGATAAAGACAATAATAATGAAAATAAAAGGTCCTACCCCACATGATATCTACCCCACATGCTTTAATTCCTACCCGGACATGATCTCTATCCCGCATGCTAATTCCACACAAATCCTAACCGCATATTTGTCTAGTTCGCATGCTTTGAACAGAAAGTAAAGCATGAAACAAAGCAGCCTAGGGTTTGGAATGATGTTTTAGGGTGGGCTCTAATTCTCCATAGCCTCTCGGTTTAGGTTCTAAAAAACGGGACCCGAGTTCTCCTTGCCGGTGCCCCCTTGGGCTTATCAGACCCTTAGTCCTAAGCCCATTACAAGCTTATGTGGACTAAGTTAAACTCGAGAGGAAACATTCTCTTATGCCCGCACGGTGAATAAATTCACACGAAGGCGTCGCTTTCACCCCCACTTAAAAGGGTTCGGAGCTCGGGTATAGAGCTAGAGATGGAAACTTTTTCAAAAATCTTAAATCATTGAAAAAACGTCAGTACAACTATTTACTTGAAAAAAAATAATCAAAGATTAATAATTGGAATCGAATAAATAAATTAAAATTAAAATTTGTAATTTTCGTTAAAAAAAAAGACAACCGAAAATTAATTTCGGCCCGACTCACTTACTTGTCCTCAGCGGAGTCGCCAAGCTGTCGTAACTGTCTTTCGGTTGGGCCTCAGAATTGGGCTTCGACTTGAAAAATGTGGATTGGAGTCGCCACCGACAATTTTAAAACGAATTTAGGTGGGTCAGACACCATCTTACCTGATCTGCGTTTTTACCAGAAATGTGTCGGGTTCGGGAGTCGGTTACGGTCAAGGAAGGATTAGCACCATTGAACTGCCCTTTCGGTACCAATTAATTTGCCGGTTGTCTTAGTTGCAAAAATTCAAAATTTAAATTAAAATTTAACAGACCCGATTCAAATTACTTACAATTGATTGATTTGAATACCCTTAAAAGATAAAAACGTTTGACTCATAGCGGAGTATAAAATCGAATTAGGATAACAAGTGTGCAAACGTGAGAATAATAAATAAAACAAGAAAAAATGAAAAATAACAAAACACGTAAAAAATAATAAAAAAACAAAATGAATAAAATGTTAAAAAACAAAGACACAGATAAAGGGAAAATATTAATGGAGTAAAAAAAATAAAAAAGGTAAAAGAAATTAAAAATGAATAAAAATAATGTGTACATATAAAGTAGTATTTACTAAAACAAATAAAAATAATAAATATATAATACTAAGTAAAACAAATAAAAAATAAAGATATACATGATATTAAGAAAAAAATAATAGAAAAAAATAAAATAAAGTAAAAATATATATATATATAAATAAATAAAAACAAAAATAGAATATTAAGAAAAAATATATATAAAAACGTATAAAATATAATATTAAGAAAAAATATATACATAGTAAATGGAGAAAAATTAATACATCTATATATATATATATATATATATATATAATGATATAAGATATATATAATAAAAATAATATAATATAAATAAAAAAAAGAAATATAGTAAATAAATAAAAAAATATAATTAAAAATATATGTATATGGGACGAAATTAATATAAAAATAAAATTAAATGGTAAATTTCAAGATAAATTAAAGATTAAGATTGACTTAGGAGAATATTAAATACTTTAAAAAAATGAACATGTCTCGGGAGTAGATCTAGGTTTGAAACTTCGAAACCCCACCTCTTTTTGGTCATCGGCGCTACCCACGCTTTGGGTTATTCAAACCAAATCTCAAGAAAAATAACATGCACATGCGAGAAATGAACGAATCAATGTAAAAAAAGATGCTACCTTTTATTTCCTTTTCGAATCGTTTACAATAGATTTGCCTTTGTATTTTTTCGTGCTTTCTTCTGTATCTTGTATGTAAATCTTGTGTTACAAATGGGGGATTACATGTATTTATAGTGAAAAAAACTAACTATTTTTATAATCCTATTAACAATAAAATCCTAATGCAACTAGACTCCTTGCTCGGTTGTTGCATGTTTGTTGGTGTGATTGTTGCTTTAAAAGATATGGTGGTGGAATAGTCCTCTTAGAAGATGAACTCTTACTAGTTCTATCTTTTAAGAAAATAGGTGTCTACAATACGAAATCATTTGGGCAACTGGTCAAGAATCCATGAGAGAGCAAAGTAGGTTTCACAGATGACAGATACAAACCATAAAGCATAGGCATCCTTCACTGGGTGGTTCACTTGATAGTGTAAGAAAAACACGAGAACGAATAGTCGAATTACGATGAGTATTACGGGTTGATCTGGCTATACGGAATTCGCAGCTTTCTCCACATTGGTTGTGTAGCCTCTCCATTATGATCCACGACCAATAAACTACTAATTTAGCCCATCGGCTTTAAATGAAGAAACAATATCACTTTGTAATGAAACATAAAGCAAAGCAATTTATACTAAGAGTTGTACTAAGGAGCTTACAATGGTGAACCGAAGTCATGACAAAAGACATCTTTGCTACCATTATCAGACTTCATCAGTTGTAATTTTTGTTTCTCTTGTTTCCATGTCTCCATTCTATCCTTCCAAGCAACACTTTCATAGCCATAAGCTGTTAAATCCTTGTAAAGATTTTAAAATACACCGTATTAAAAATGGTGTTACTGAGAAGGGGAAGTTGGGGCTCCTTACGAACGACAAGATGGTGCTGCTCATTATTCCTACCCTGGAAATCGAGCTCATTTTCCAAGTCATCAATGCCAACTTCTTCTTCGTCACCTTCCATTCTAGGACAGCCTGAACAAGTTTGAAACAATGATCGAACATCCAACAACACAAAAATATATGATACACGAAGAGAGAATTGTTTTGAGAAGTGACCCTTGAGACGTTTGAATCTGGTTTTGCACCGAGGGCAAGCTTGATTCCCTTCTTTACGCTCGTATTCATAGCAAACACGACAAATAGGGAAGGCACACTCATCGCAGGCCATGAACAACTCTCCATCTGCTGTTAGCCCAATTTCATCCCCGCATATGTTGCATGTTTGGCTGATCAAATATTCCCTTGCTGTCCCCTGCTGCAGATTTTACACCCTTTGCTCTTATTTTCCATGTAATTAATATTTCAAACCATGTGTAAGCATATATATATATATAACTTACAGAAGAATCGTCCCCATGGAGACGAATAACTAGGAGCTCGTTCGAGTCGTGAGTACCAACAACTAAACCACAGTTCACTTGCATATCTGTTCAACCTGTTCCTTTTAGCCTAGAAGTTTTCCCATAAAAATATGAGACCCGTCATCGTAATCACTTCTTCTGCTCCATTTATCATTTACAAGCTCAGAACAAAACAAACAAAATGATAAACTGGACTGTTGGAGTAATTTAATTAATATCAAAGCTTAAGGTATATGGTTATTTGCACACTTCAACTTTGCATCGACTGCAAATATTAAGTATATATTTATTCAAACGGAAGGAAATAGCGGAAACTTAGATTATGCTTCTAATAATTATGTAGATTAACGAAGATGTATCTTGATGCATAAGACATAAGAATAGAATAAACTAATGAATGGACGGTTATTACAAAGATGACTTTTTAATTATTGTTTCTTGTAAAAGGTAATGTAAAACAAGGATTTACCTAATCAGACTCATCATGTAAAAACAATGGCATACAAATAGCGAACGTAAAGTACAAATGCTTTGAGAGATAAAAATTGGAAAAGCTTCAACATGGACGCTTCAATAATATTTAGCAGTGTCAACATTTGTAGAATTTAGATGTTTGGCATAACTCCAGTTATCTCGGTAGTAAATGAATTGTTATTATTTTTTAAAGTCTCAAGTTCGAGACAAGAAATGTCAGGAATAAAAGCGTTTAATGTCAAAATATTGAGAGTTGTCTTGATTAGTAACACTACTGTCAATCTTGTTCGAGGCCTGACCCGAGGAAATGTTGTATTGACAATGGTTTTTAGTACTAAGGTCCCAACTTCTAATTTTTAATATTTTCTACTGATCTACCACTACTAACCCTGTATTGGACTAGCTTTCAATATGTTGTCCAATTCCTTCTCAAACTATATGTACGACACCATATTTTTATATTAGATGCGGGGAAAATATATTATTAATAGTAAATATATAAAAAAATAAAATATAACAGAATTTAAAAAATTTATGGAGCTTACTCATTTCCCCTTGATACATTCCTACTTAGTGCTTAAATTGTTTTCATTCTTAGGTTAATAGATTTTATTCATATTTAAGAGCATCCTCAGCAAGAGATTCTAATACGTACTATTCATAAAATAATATACATATATATTATTTTCATTATTACGTTATTTTCATTAATTTGATTTGTTTTAAATATATTATTTAAAAAAAAATTAAAATTCAACCAGTGATGTTTATTGGGACCTATTAATAAAATTAAATTTTTTTGTCAGATTTTTTTATATAATTGCAAAGGAAGAAATTAAACAAATTTGAGTTGTCGTTGTCTTTTATACAATTTTTAAGGAAGCATCTTCTATGAAAGATAAAAATAATTTATGTTATGACTTTGTCTCTTAATGATTATATAAAATTATAATTCATATATTTAATTATGCTCATTAAATTTTATAGATGATACTGGAAGTTTTCCCTTCTTTCTCTTAGCGAATGATAATTTTATTGAAACAAAATAAAAGTACAGTACAGCCGGGACCATTCAAACGAAAAATAGACGCTAAACATACAATAGTACAAAGATGAAAAGCAGAAATCAAAGCAAAGAGGCGGCATCAATCATCGAGCTTTGAACATAATAGACTTTGACACCAGTCATACCGTTCCTTCCCACCTTAAAAATTCAATTACCTTCATAAACATCCCTCAAATGATAATTTCTTTTACAAAGCAGAAGTTAGCTTTGATTGACTCTTCTTATCCTCCATTGGCTGCTGTTTCAACATGTTGTCCAATTCCTCCGCAAACCTTTCCATGGCTGGAGCTGGCAAACATATCGGCACCAATGTTCCAGCTTCACCTTTCTTGGTCTTTCTTGGTGTGAAAAAGCTTATCACCCCTACCGCTTTCGCTACCCCACCAAATACTGGCTTACCCCATCCGAAATCCACATCTTCCAGACCAGAATGGGTTAGATCCGATATAATGTATGAACCCATAACATTCGGGAAAAGGAGTTGTTTACCCCGAATCACCATTAAAGCTGCCACAGATTTCATATATTCCTCTGTCAACCTTGCTTTCGCTTGTTTTACTAATTCCACCGCATACCCTAATGGATTCTCACGAAGTTTTTTAACTCTTGTTATTGCTGCCGACAACACAAAAGCGTTCCCATAGTATCCCGGTGGCAATATTGGTGGATTGAATTTGAAACGTGCATTAACGACGCACATCATCCGTACCTCTTCGTTGGGGTCAATATTTATGGCAAGGGTTCGACAGCGCCATAAGAAGGCTGTTAAAAGTTCGAACTTAGTGCAACGGCGAAGGTGGGGAGGGAGAAGCCTACGAAGAAGTGAAATTTCAGCATGGCCAAAGAAGAAGGAACGTTGAACTAAGTTGTCCGATGGCCAGGTAGTGGCGGTGGAAACTTCCACTTCGTCATACTCGTGGTGCTTGAATGTAACTCGTGGTGGATCTGGGGCATCTAAGAGATGTCTTTCCCAAACCGGCTGGATCAATTGAGTGGCTTCGCCTCGTGCCATTGCTGTCACGGCAAACATGGATTGTTTTAGACCGGGACCATCGGTCATGACGTGATTCAGACGGGTGGCGAAAATAAAACCACCGCATTTCAGTCGTGTTACCTATTAACCAATAAACTGATGTTAGATAATTGAAGAAAGGTGTTCGCAGGCCACGTATCCTACTTTAAGGTGGCGTTAGGTTCATTGGAATCACTTGGAATTAGGGGAATTGGAATCCAATTCCACCATTTTCCCATGTTTGGTTCAAGTTTTCAAAAGGAGAATTAGAATCCAATGATGGAAAGTAAATTCATCCATAACATGATGGAATTGAAATCCTTTGGAGGAGAGAATGTGAAATTTGATCATACTACCCTCATCAATCTTTTGGTATTCAGGTTGGTTTTTTTTTTAAAAAATTCGGGTTCGGGTCGGTTTTCTAATTCATATATTTGGGTCAGGTTGGGTCTCGGGTGGAGGTTCCCTTGTTCTCAGGTCGGGTCAGGTGGACCAAAAACCTGACCCATGGTCATCCCTAATTATTGGGATGATTTTAACTTACGATGTTTATTAGTATGATTTTTTATAATTTATTGAAATGAATAATCAATCAATAAAATGAAAATTTAATATTTTTATAACATATTGTTACATATAAATTATAAAACAAACTAAAATCAAGCAAAAAAAACAAGAAGAGCAATTCTGTCATTTTACATTACTGATATTAAATTCCTCTGACATTTCTGCGAACTAAACAGAATATGGAATTGGATTCCAATTCAATTTCTTACCAACCAAACATGTTTCAGATTCAGATTCCAATTCCTTCACAGATTTCAATTCCCTCGTAAACATTCCAGCGAACCAAACGCCATCAAAGAGTAATGTTTTCTGGATCCTTAATGCGTTAGCTGTGTGATTTGGCTATTTCTTGTTTTAATTGTTTTTCTCGTATTCCATTGCCTGTTATGGGTCGGAGCTTTTGTGTATCCATTATACAAATTAAATGTGTAGATGGGAGTGTTTTGGCGTGGCCTCAAGGAGGACGTTTGTAACTGCAGAAGCTTTTATTGCTGTTTTGTTATCCTAATTTACCGAGTTAAGATTATTTTTCCCTTGATTAATAAAATGATTTTTGCCGAGGGAAAAAATGTTTCCGAGTAACATATATTAGGGTAAATTACGTATTTAGTCCTTCGATTAATGATGCAATTTTATTTTAGTCATTTAATTATTGTTATTCTCAAAATCATACCGAAATTATGTTTATGATTTCATTTTGGTCACCTATCATCATTGAAAAAAATTAAAATAAATTATATCGTCAGTAGTTTTGTTTATTTTTTAATGGCGAGTAACTAAAACAGAGCAAAAATATAACTTATGGTATGATTTAAAAAAAATAGTTGGATGACCAAAATAGAACCACAAGAAGAATTGGATGACTAATATGTAGTTTACCCTATTTTCGAATTGAAATTTTAGTACCTGAATCAACAACAATGGGCAATTTATCATCCCTTCAGAGCCAGGAACGTCAAAAAGGAGTTGATCAAAGCAAGGAAATGGTGGCTGAAGTTCATCACCAAAGTGTTGAAGAGTAACATCAGCGTCGGCCTTTATAAACATCACTCCTTCACCATTGCAGTCCACAATAAGCTTACCATTAGCCCCTTCCCTTAGTCTACCTGCAAATGGATAATATAAGACTAGGGTTTGTGCTAGTGCAGCCTTAATAACCTCAGCAGGATTCTTCCCTTCCATGGAAGGCTGGGGTCGATAAAAATGGATTAACGGAATTTGAAACCGGAAACTCGCTTGATCATCGATATCCGATAACGGTTTTTGTTCAAGTGGTGTAGGCTTAGCCGGAGCTACAAGTTCGGGTTTACATGTCCGAACAGTAAATGTTAGAGGAATGTCGGAAGGTGTTGCCATGGAAGGAGAATGTGATATAATAGATAAAAATAGCTAGTGTTGGGATCAGAATCAAATGATTTATATTGGAACCAAAGAGTAGGAAATTGAAGTTGTTCGGAAGTGGTCACTGAGATTGTATTTATAACCATACATATCGTGCTAAGATACCAAAATTTTAAACGGTATTCCAATGCGAAAAGTAAACTTTATCCATTTATATCCATCACTTCAAAAAATTTACTAATGCAATTGTTAAACTGCTGAAAGTGTTAATTTACCTTTTTTTTTATTAGAAGATGAATCTAACTCGATTTTCCACATTATTAACCATATACGGTACATATATTTCTTCATATTTTCTTCATATATCATACACATATATTATACAGCGTCGAGGGACTGGACTTAAACTTGAAAATCAATTCACTAATTACTAAAAACTTTGACTTATTCGAATTGTATTTTATAACTAGATTTAAACTTTAATTTTTTTTGAATCGAGTCGAATTTATGAAATTACAACTCTAAATCAATTCAGATTGAGTTTTTTCGAGTGAAAAAAATTAATTTTTTGAATCGAGACAAATTTTGGTCATCCCTATTTAGTCACCCAATTCTTCTTGGGGTTCCGATTATTAAACCAAAAAAAAAAGTTACTTGTTATTAAATTCTATTGTTTTTCAACGTTAACAGTTTAATAACACCCTATTTAATTATTTATAAACAAATAATAAAATAATATAATTTGATTGATACAAATACTCAGGAGGTCCTATATTTCTAGATCAGAATCAATTAAAATTCTCTCAAAAGAAACCAATTACTTTAGTTATAGTGTTTAAAGAGGGTATGAGTCAAATGTTTAATTATTAAAAATTTATAAATTTTAAAAATAATAAATTAATTATTTTTCCTTAAAATTTGTCCAAACGTCTAACGAGTTTAGGAAAAAATTATGAGTTTGTCAATATAAATATAATAAAAAATTCATCTAATATAATTAATAAATATTTTTATTTTAAAAATTTTATAACAGTTACGTATATATTTGGATTAAATCTAGAAAAAATATATTAATTGAAGTAATATATATTAATTTTCTTAACATAATTCATACATATTTTTATTTAGGGTAAACTACCTATTTTTACTCACATATTACTTAATTCATGTTTTAGTCATTCATCATTTATTTTTTTTAAAAATCATACATAATGTTACATTTTGGTTCTGTTTTGATCACATGCCGTTAAAAAATTAACAATGATACTAACATGATAATTTTTAATTATTTTTAAATATTGATGTGGCATTATCTTATGATGACACATTAGTATCACCATTAATTTTTAAAAGATGAGTGACCAAAACAGAATCAAAATGTAACATTAGGTATGATTTAAAATAAATCATAGTTGTATGATCAAACCAAAAACCAAATAATAAGTGAGTGACTAAAGTGTAAATTACCATATTTTCGGCATGCATATGTACCTTAATAATTACCACTCGTGCATATGTTGAAGCTAACAAAACTTATCCCAAGAAAACGTGGATTAATAATTACCTTTCACGTTTTTGTACTTTTTCCCGAGTGGATTGGGAATCAATTTTCACGTGCGTTTGAAATCTCCTGTATTCATTGTATACTAAAATCTCAATAATTGAGGATACATTAATATTTGTCGGTGTCGTACAAATAGGTGGTTGGCCCTTGTTTATCCTTTTTTATTATTAAGTTAAATTGTATTATATTTAAATTTAATAATACAAATATATTATTATTAAAACAAAAATATAATTTTAATATTTTCAAATAATAAAATTTTGTGATTAAAATAGGTAGACTTAAATCTTATTTTTAATATATATATAGATTTAATCTAACTCAATTCATAAAGATTGACCCAGACGATAAGAAAATTCTTTTGGGTTAGCGAGCATCACCAAATGCATACCCCACCCGTAATAGGACTTGATGATTCGCATATTCATTTTCATTTGATTAATAGATTAAACTAAAAATTATTATATCAAAAAAATGTGGGAGGAACAGCAACTCTTCCCAACCTCTTAATAGATTTAATCATCTACAGTTTTTTAAAAGTCATTTTTGTATTTTAATCTCATTATAATGATAATGATCCTACAATAAAAAAAATGATAAAATTATAGTAAGTATGAATATAAAAATTTATGTTAGGGATGTAAACTTAAGATACTATATTAAAATTATAGGGGATGCGAAATTAAATAATCAACAGAAAATAAAAAATTAATATTTTTAGAGGGTGTGAATGCATCCCAACACCCCTCTCGGTCCATCTTGAAACTACTATTAATATAAAATTTATACACATAAAACTTTATAATAATTTTTAAAATAAACAAGCATTTGTTTATACCACAATTTGCTTTACAAACAAGAAGGCTTAGCATATATTAATCTTCAAGCAATGTCAATAACTCCATCTTCGTAAAAAAAATTTCTAAAAAAAATTAACAATATCTAATTAGCTGACCCTATTCTCATATGTAATGGGGTGAGGGGAGGTAAGGTAGTAAGCTGCCCCAACGCCAGGTTGAAAGCAGCTTTCGTGGAAGGCCTCCGACAGTCAGAATTATGAATTGTCCATCGTGAGACTCGATCACACGACCACAATGTTAAGATCCTTACGCTGTACAATGACATGCACTAATAACTTCATTACAACACCATCCAGTGAACAGATCACTATACTCGTGTTAAAAAGGACACCAACCACCACTTCACATAGTATTTCAAATAAAATATTCCTTACTCTTCTTCCTACACTGAATTGGATAGCCTTTCAATATATTATCCAATCCTGTCTCAAATATCTCCATGGCTGCAGCTTCCATACAATTTGGTACCAATGTTTGCTATGAAATAGCTTTTGCTGGCCCTGCAAACACCGCCTTACTCCATTTTTGTTAAATCTGATATAATGTATGAACAGATAACGTCGGGAAAGAGAAGCTGTTTACCCTGAATCACCATTAAAGCTGCTACTGATTTCGCATATTCCATTGTCAGGTTTGCTTTGACTTGCTTCACTAGTTCCACTGCATTCCCCTAGTGGGTTACGGACAAATTTTTCAACTGTTGTCATTGCAGCTGGGACGACGATGGCATTCCCATAATATCCTGATGGCAGTGAGGGATTGGATCTTGGACGTAAGTTTGCAGCGCGTAGCATGCGGACCTTTTCGTCAGGGTCGATATTTAGAGCAATGGTTCGACAACGCCATAAGCAATTAGTTGTTAGGAGTTCGAACTTGATGCAATGGCAAAGGTGGGGTGGGAGTGAGAGAGTAGTTGTATAACTACCAGGTTATTATAATTGCGAGCTTAACTGTTAGACAGTTTTGTGGGCCGTTCAGCTGGCTATGTCTCTATATATTTGATAGGCCTGCTGTTGTATGGGCTTAAGTGATTTTTATATCAGTTGAATAAAATAACTGAATAATAATACTTTCTCCCCATTCTCTCTCTCTCGTTCATACTTCAGTTTGTTCTTGTTCTTCGTTAGTTGTTTTCCTCTTTACATATTAAGTATAAATTCACACATATTATCAGAGCTATTTCCGATCAGTTTCATGTGATTTGTTCGTCATTTGATCAGTTTTCTTTGCTCAGCAGTGATATTTGTTGCTCCTTCAGCCTTGTTGCTTCCTGTTTCATGCGTTTTCGGTTCAGTGAATGAAGAATTTCTCAGGTGCTATTTTTGCAATTTCCTTCTGTTATTCCCTTTATCTTTTCAGAGTTTTTCAAGAATTTAATCATAGTTGCATTATCTGCGTATTTTTCTTCATATGATGATTTTCTAGTTCTGCATATTAAAATATAAGTTTTGAATGAAGTAATTAGTTTTATTAAAAAGAGAAACTATTAAAAATTATAATAAAGTTTATTAAATTAAATATATAATTAAGATATTTTTTTATTGTTATTGACGTAAGAAATTAGTCATTTTAAATCACGCAAGAATCATATAAATAAAATGTTAAAATACCTAATAAAAAACTGAACAAAATATATATGAATATATTCAATCGTATTTGCAAACGAATAATAAAAGGAGATCAAGCTATTGAAAACCATCAACAAGCCATAAATCAGAGTCGAGTGACGTGAAAAAACTATTCACGAATGTAAATCATGTATCCAAATCTAATTTGAGGGTTTAAAATAGGAAATATCAGTATGATATTAAATAAGTGTCATCGTGATAAATTATAGTGAAGTTAAATCCAATTATGAGAAAAAAAAACAAACAAAAACAATAATAAAACGACCGAAAACATATCATAAAACATTATTATTAAAAAGTAAAAATAAGAAATATGATATAAAAAATCAAAGGTAAAAATAATATCAACGACAACAACTAACATTAAAATTAATACTACAATCTATCAACTAAAGATAAAGCAAGAGATAATCATCCTTTTAAAATTTTCTAAACAATTATGAATTTGCGTTAAAATAAAATTAAAATAATAAATTAGATAATATTTATACAATCATGTCAGGGTCAGGCCTAGGCTTAAAGTCTTGTATAAGACATGACCCAAATGAAAATGGGGTTAAAATCTTGGTAAGTCCATTTTTCGAATTTTATATTTTTGTCTAAACCCCCAAACTTTAAAGACTTAAAATTCTCAACCTTTTTTACCCATAAAAAGCACATATTCTTAAAAGATAATGAGGTATTTTGGAAAAATACTTTCGTCGCCTACCACGTTTTCTGTTATAGTGTGAGAATGAAGAGACGTGCATGGCTGTTGAAAATAATCATAAAAGATACATATATTGATATTAATGCAACGATTACGAGTGAATACTGGAAATGAGATACACATTACACTAACAATGAAAAGGCGTATAAAAGATTAAAGATTCTACTAACTAATTCCTTTACGTTGTACTAGAATTGTTTGGAGGTTGAGTAGTGGTTTGATTATAGTTTTTTTTTTTTTTGAAGTTCAAACTTGTATTTTACTTAATTCTATTCAATTTCATTCATTTAGTAACAAGAATATTAATTAAATATTAAAACTGAAGTTTTATTTTTGATTTTTTTCTTAATCCTACTGTATGCTTTGTAGCCAAACTGTTTAAGGGAACATCGTGAACTCACGGTTCATTGCAATCCACTTCATTAAAATACACAGTACTTTAACATGCAAGAAAACGTTTATTTTATTTTTGACAAAAAGAAAACCTTTATTAATATAATAACATTTATTGACATGCATTAATAACTTCATAATACAACACATACTAGTTTAACATCCAGTGAACAGATCACTACACCAATCTTAAAGACGACACCAAACACTACTTCACAGAGCATTTGAAATAAAATATTCTCCTCTTCTCCGTGCACTGAATTGGATAGCCTTTCAACATTTTGTCCAATTCTATCTCAAATCTTTCCATGGCTGGAGCTGGCAAACAAATTGGTACCAATGTTCCAGCTTCTCCTTTCTTGCTCTTGGTTGGTATGAAAAAGCTTATCGCCCCAATAGCTTTTGCTGGACCTGCAAACACTGCCTTACCCCATCCGAAATCCACGTCTTCGAATCCCATTTTCGTTAAATCCGATATGATGTATGAACCGATAACGTTGGGAAAGAGAAGCTGTTTACCCCGACTCACCATTAAAGCTGCCACAGACTTCGCGTATTCCATTGTCACGTTTGCTTTGACTTGCTTCACTAGTTCCACTGCATAGCCTAGTGGGTTACGGACAAGTTTTCCAACTGTTGTCATTGTAGCTGGGAAGACGAAGGCATTCCCATAGTATCCCGATGGCAGTGAGGGATTGGATCTAGGGCGTAAGTTTGCACAGCATAGCATGCGAACCTTTTCGTCAGTGTCGAGATTTAGAGCAATGGTTCGACAACGCCATAAGCAAGCTGTTAGGAGTTCAAACTTGGTGCAATGTCGAAGGCGGGGAGGGAGGAGCATACGAAGAACTGAAACTTCATCAGGGCCAAAGAAAAAGGAACGTTGAACCAAGTTGTCCGATGGGCAGGTGGTGGCGGCTTCCACTTCGTCGTACTCATGGTGCTTGAATGTAACTCGTGGTGGGTCTTCAGCATCTAAGAGATGTCTTTCCCAAACAGGTGAGATTGAGCAAGAGGTTGCGCCTCGCGCCATTTCGGCCATATCGGACATGAATTGTTTTATACCGGTACCATCACATATTACATGATTAAAGCGGATTGCAAAAATAAAACCTCCGTATTTTAAACGTGTTACCTGTTGATTAAGAAAATCAATTCACACTGAAATTTGGACTAGTCCATCTTAAAAAAAGAATATGTCAAATCCTAAAATACATTACTTGTACTAGTAAATATGAACTTAAAATAATGAATGATAAACTATTTATTACCTGTATTAACAACAATGGACAGTTTAACATCCCATCAGAACCTGGAACATCATAAAGGAGTTCATCGAAGCAAGGAAATGGAGGCTGAAGCGAATCACCAAACTGTTCAAGTGTAACATTAGCATCGGCCTCTATAAACATTACACCCTCGCCGGTGCAATCTACTATAAGCTTACCATTAGTCCCTTCCTTTAGTCTACCAGCAAACGGATAATAAAAGACTAGGGTTTGTGCAAGTGCCTCCCTGATAATTTTAACTGGGTCTTTCCCTTGCATGGAGGGATCAAACCTATAAAACTGGATAATCGGAATTTGAAACCGAAGACTTAGTTGATCGTCGATGTCAGATAATAGCTTACGTTCATGAGGTGTGGGCTTAGCCGGCGAGACAAACTCTCCTTTGCATCGTCGGACAGTAAATGCGAAAGGAATTTTAGAATCTATTGCCATAGTATGAAGATACCTATCTGGATGTCAAGCCTTTGCTCAAGTATTTATATACAAATTTTAGGTGGTTTTCACATGTATCTGTTTACTTGTTTCTTTGGTTCAGAAGTTATTATGTTTCACATTGAAAGGAGACGAAAATAGAAATTATTGTTATATTGGACGGTGATGGGAATGGAGATCATCTGCCCCTCATTCGACTTAGTGCCCCGCTCCGTGTCCCTTGCACCGTAGCGCGCCACGTAATAATATTTATTAGCTAGTTTCATATTTAAGTTTTTCTATACAATTTATTTATTTAATGACAAATAATAATTCAAACTAAATTATACTAAATAATATTTTTAATTATATATTTATTTATATTTATATTATATATCTTTATTACGTGAGGCACTATGGTGCAAAGGACACGGAACGGGGCACCAATGAGGACGATCTCCATTCCTGTGATGGATAGAGAAAAAGAAGTAAACAAAATCGTGCATTACAAGTGTGATAATTCCATGTAATATTCAAATAAATTATGATTATTAGATTTTATAACATCTGTATTATAAATGAAAGATACTTTATATAACTAATAATATTATTAACCAATTGAATTTAATTTAATTGACTTCATTCATGATATAGTATAAAAAATATAAGATGACATATATTTGAATATTTAATAATTTGTGATTTATAGTGCGAAAATACATTTGAATAATGTAAATATCATATCAATAATAATAATAATAATTAGTCAAATTATAAAAAAAATATTAATAAATCATATTGAATTTAAGTTTAATTATAATATGAGTATGCTTTTAGTTAATTTCTAATTAAACTTTTACATAACAAAAAATTGACTGTTTTGTATTCCAAATAACATAAATAGATTAAAAATATCATATAAGAATCATTAATTATTTTAAAAATCTTATTATTTAGAAATATCTACATAAAAACCTTAAAATTTTATCGAATGAATATAAAAATATTAAACAAAATTAATTTTATCAAATTAAAGTAAAAAAAATAAACTAATAATTAATATAAAAAAACAATTGAACTCCATGAATCAAATTATAAGATAATTCAACCAATAGGGGTTGGTTTAAGTGATACACATTTTGATATCGGTTAAGTAATATATCGAGTTCAAGTCCGAGTCTTTGTATATGTAGAAAGTCCTTGTTGGGATATTCACCCACCAAAACCAAATATGTGATGCGGGTCGGTACGAATTAATCAAAGTAAAATCTTGAAACCGGGATAGAAAAAAGAAAATTATAAGATAATTGACAAACTTAATAAACTCAACCGAACTAAACTGGTTCCACTCCTATCTAGACTTTTCAGTAGTAATATGTACTTAAATATAATTAAGTTTACATTTTCATGTATATACAGTTCAACATCATTAATAATCTATAGTATATTTGATAAAAGCTCTCAACTGAAATATTTTCTGTTTTTTAAATTATGAATTTAATATTTATTAAGAATAAAATTTTCTTTCTTCTCCTTATGAACAAGAATTATTCAAAAAAATGTCAATAAAATTAAGATTAATTTAATCGGTTTCTTTATAACGAATTCCTATTTATTTCTTCATATAGAAAAATAGATCTAAAAAAACCCCTCAATGGTGGGTTGTCACAAACCAAAACACTGCAGCTTGGTGGTAAGATTGTTTGAAGGACATGCACCACACAAAATGTATGGAGATGGCGAGCTTGGTGATTTGTTGACAAATGGCCATCAGATATTTCAATATGATAATGTAGGCGTCAGAAAATTTTAGAGCAGGGACCAACATTAATGAGATGAATATAAACGCACACCAGTGTGAAATTGACTCCAAGTCCAACCACAAATTCCCTTTCACATGAACCCCATAATTTTGGAACTGTTCGGCAATGAGTTGTGGATATCTGATATAATAATGAATTAAAAGTGTAATTACACATATTATATGTTGAAAATTTTCAACACTTCAATTCTGATCTTAATTTTTTTTAAATTGTAATAAATCGAACAGTCGAAATTCCATAAATTTTTATGTGTATCATTGTTTGAGAGTTTCAGATTGTTTTCACATTTTTCATTAATGTTGTGAAGTTTTTTTTACATTTTTCTTTATGATTAAATTATTTAATTATAAAAATATATTTTGATCACCCAAAAAAATCATTAAATTTAAGATTTATTTTTTAATCATTTATAATTAATTTTATTTAATTAAGAAAAAAACAGAATGGTAGACTAGAATTTGAACCCACGTACAAAAAACTCTAAACTTAACTGTTGTTTGTAACTTCAATTCTTGTTAAATAAGATATAATATAATATTTTAGGTATGTATGGAACATGAAAAGTTTTAAGTTAAAATTAACTATATTAATAATAAAATATTGGTTTTGAGATAATATACATTTAAATCATGTATAATCATATGGAACATGAAAAAATTTATGCTCAAATTAATTATATTAATTATTAAATATTGTTTTTAAGATAATATATTTTTAAATTATGTATAATTTATTACTTTTTTATATGTTTTAATTTATTAATTTAATTACTTACGATATGATTATAAGGATTATTAAAATATAACATTTTATTAAATTAATTTATAATTATATAATTTTGAAGTGATTGTAAAATAAAATTATGATTTTAAGAGGGACGATGGTCACTATCAGTGTTTGTAGGCCTCTAGTTCAGTCCCTCGTATTTAGTACGGAACAATAGCTTTTCCACAAGATAAATAAATATATTTTGTTTGTTCTCAACTTGAAATCTCTTCGGTTGTTAGAAGTATTTATTCTTTTCAGACATAAGCAGATTATAATATGAGTCTGAGTTAAAACAAAACAAAACAATAAATTAACTTATACATATAATCATGTCAGGGTCTGGCCCAGGCTTAATGTTTTGTCCAAGAAATGAAAATGTGGTTAAAATCTTGCCAAGTCCCCCTTTTTTTTAATTTTATATGTTTTTTTCTGAACCACCGAGCTTTAAAAACTGAAAAATTCTCGACCCTGTTTAAATTTTCTTTTATTATAACTCATTTTCAATTACTTCTGTGATAAGTAAGATAAAAGATTTTTGTATAGAAAGCATCTTTATTGCAGAAGTATGAGTAGTAGGAGGACGATGGTGCGATTATCAGTTTTATATTTAATCACATAATAAATATATGTTTAAAATATTAGTATTTTTTTCAAGAAATTACGAATTTTATTCAAAATATAAAATATCCTAAATCGCAATCAAGATTTACAATCATATTCGCAAATTAAGTATATAATTAGGACAATTTCTTATAACCATTGAAATAAAACTAACAACTTAAGATCATATAAGGACCATACAAGGAAAGATTAAAACCTAACAAAAAAACTCGAACAAAGATAGATACAAACAAATCTGATCGCATTGGCAAATGAACCGCAAAAGGAGATCAAGCTACTGAAATACCACCGACAAACCGTAAATTAGACTTGAGTGACGTGAAAAGCTATTCACGAATGCATAATGGATAACCAAATCCAATCTAAGGGTCCAAAGCAGGGAAGATCAACAATATAACAAATAAGCACCATATTGATCAGTCGTGGCGATGTCTAATCAATCCTTAAAAAATAAATAAAAATAACGATCAAACAGTCGAAAAACACGCCAAAAGGATGAAGAAAACGTACCATGTAATTAGACTTATCAAAAATAAAAAACAAGAAAAAATAAAATGACAATAAAGAATACAAACGGTCGTCAACTAACATTAAAGTTGGTGCCACCGCCAATCAACAAAGATAAAAAAAAGAAGAAGAGACGAACGGTTTACCAATGAGAAAATTAGAAGAGAAAACTTGTTATATAAATACTTGTTAGGAGAGAAAATATTAGTATTTAAATAATTAAAAATTCATATATCTACATGATATGGGAATAAAAATCACATTAACTTCTCAAATCTCACATCATTTAGATATATGTAAGTTTTCAAGTTTAAATATAGTATTTTAAATATGCATTTATTAAGTTATTAAACATATAAGGTTAATACATGCATGTCAAGGATATCCTATATAGTGCACTTTCAAAGACATTTTTCATGTAACACACCTTTATTCAACGTGAAAAAAAGATATTAATCCAGAAAGTAACCTGAAATGGGTATTAAAATAAAAAATATTTTTAAATAAATGATATTTGAATTAAAGAAAAAAACCCAAAAAAGCACATATTATTAAAAGATATAGTGATAAATTGGAAAATACTTTCATCGCCTACAACGTTTTCTGTTATAGTGTGAGAATGAAAACACGTGCATGGCTGTTGAAAATAATCATAAAACATAAGGAAAGGATGATGGTGAGGCACTTGCACAAACCATACTATTTTATTATCCATTTACTGCTAGGCACTTGCTCTTGCACAAACCCTCCATTATGTTGTGCTGTTAGTATTCATGTTAACTCTTTATTGAATCATTATATGTACCTAATTCCCTTTGATTTTTTACTTTTACCTCAATGTATTCAAGTTTTTTTAAGGAAATAAAAGGAGAAAAATATCTAGAGATAGCTCAAATCTTTTCAAATTCATCTTACAGTCCACCAAATAGATAATGATTTGTTACCTCCACTAATAGATTCATTACAATCCATAGTACTTTAACATCTAGTGAACAGATCACTATACTAGTCTTAAAAACGACACCAACCACCACTTCACAGAGCATTTCAAATAAATTATTCTCTACTCTTCTCCCTACACTGAATTGGATAGCCTTTCAACATATTATCCAATTCTGTCTCAAATCTTTACTTGGCTGGAGCTGCCAAACAAATTGGTACCAATGTTCCACCTTCGCTCCTTTCTTGCTCTTGCTTGCTATGAAATAGCTTGTCGTCCCAATAGCTTTTCGTTAAATCCGACATAATGTATGAACCGATAACGTTGGAAAAGAGAAGCTGTTTACCCCGAATCACCATTAAAGCTGCCACTGATTTCGCATATTCCATTGTCACGTTTGCTT